CGTCCTGCTCCCACCTCCGCGGAGAGAACTTTGTCCCGGGGAGATGGAGGGCAGGGGGCAGGTTTTGTGCGTTTCTGCCCACTGACCGCCCGCCTTGTCACCATTACTTCTGCTATCTGGAGAGCTACGTGTGTGCCAGGCCTCGGGGAGTGGGAGGAAGGGACTCCCCCCACTGCCCCGGCACGGCCCCGGGCACTGGCCTGCCTGCTGGGACGGAGTCAGTCTCAGGGCAGAGGAAATGGTGAGCCCGGGAACGGCTGAAACCCAACTCCTTGCCTCCCCTAAACAGATTAGTGTCTCGATTATGGGAAGATGAAAAGGAAAAATCTATGGAAAGTCATTTAAAAAGGGCAATTAGAGAACTGATGACCAGCTTCTGGAGCAGGACGCAGCAGGCAGGAGCCTAACCTGACAGAGCAGGGCTGTGAGCAGTGACAGTACTGCTTGGGAATTTCAGTGTGGGGAGAGGGGTGCGGTAGTTTGATGTGCAGAATGGGGAGAAGAGAGACTGTCTTGCCTGAATTCCTTCTGGCCTCCATGGACAGCATCAGCCTGTTAGATCTGCTTGGGTGGCTGCTTCTAGACCCGTGTCTGCCTGGCATACACTGACAGGGAAGATGAGGGGGAAAAATTGGGAGCTGGTGATGATGTGGGAGAGTGAGGTGTTAGCTGAGTTTGTACATGCACCCCCTTGCTCAGATAGGAAAGCTGGTTGGTGGAGCTTGCAGGTCTTCCCAGATTTGGGATCTTCGGGGCTCAAGGGGGTCATGAAGTAGAAATAGGAATTGTTGAGACAACAAACAAGACTTTGGGGGGAAGGGCCAGGCTGGGAGGAGCTCCAGTGAGCTGGAACTGTTCCTCAAGTGCCATAACAGGTATCTGAAAACTGGGATGGTGGACTAGGGAAATAGAGACTTTTTCGACTAGAAGTAACCTGGATCGCTCCAAACTAAGACTTCAGAACTTCCGTGTCCTTTTCAGGTGGGAAGTGACCAGTAGATGGGAAGGGAGGCAGAGGGGGGCTGAGGGTGTGCTGCTAATGGTGTTGTTCCTGGTGTGAGCACGACTCTAACTAAAGCTGAAGAAGTGAAGCGACGGGGGTTTCGCTCTTGCTGTTGCAGGTTGTTTGACTTGGACCCTGACCTGTTGCCCCTTTTCCGGTACAACTGCAAGCAGTTTGCCAGCCCTCAGGAGTGCCTCTCTGCCCCCGAGTTCCTGGATCACATCAGGAAGGTGAGAGAGGGGCTGTGGCGTGGCTGGAGCGCAGCCTCTTTGGAGGAGGAAGGCCTTAGGCAATGGCTTGGGACTGTGGTGTGTCTGACTGGGGAATGTATGGAAAGTCTCCTCCTGAGATGGTAACTGCAGGGGCTTACTCATGCTAGCAGAAGGTATGATTGCCAGGACAAAGTGCCCTACAGTGGTGGGGATCGGATGAGGATGTGGGTTGTGGTGAGTAAGAAGCACCATGCTGATTTCCATGACCTCATCTGTGAGTGGATTGCCTCTTGTGAAAGTTGGAAGCCCCCTTCTTCTACCACGGAAGTGCCCCAGTGAGCTCACTTCTGTCCAGACAAGGACCGAAGCCCTCTGCTTGGCCACATGCTGAGCAGGAGGTGGCATGGAGTTGGTCAGTGGGCCTGTGTCCCACGGATGCACTGCTGTGGAGAGGCTGTTGATATGGCTGCAGAGCCAGGGGGCCCACAGCACCTCTTGGATAGCCCCTGGGAGAGGAGCAATACTGATGGCATATGGAGGAGCTCATGCATGGGCAGAATTATACCCAGTGCAGCAGAGACCCTCTGCTGAGCCCTGAAGAGCAGCCATAGCCTTGGCTTGCAGAAGCCTTTGTAAACTGTCTTTAAAACCCCACCTTTAAACCAGTTTGGTGCCTCACTTGCCTGTCTGTTCCTCTTAAGAGGCTGTTTCAGGACTATGCACCTCTGATAGCTACAAGCTCTTCGTTATTTTCCAGTCTCTGCATACTGGCAAAGTTAAGTCCGTTTTTACTTATGCTATTATTGTTTTGAGCTGAAATAGCTCTTTGCTCTTGTTGCAGATAATTTCCCTGTTGAAATTATAGAGTGCAATTCTATCACCTCTTGGCTTTTCCAAGCCAACCATGCTCTGGCTTTAATCTCTTCTTCTAATTCAGTGTGTCTGTTCCCTTCATCCCTCATTAACCCTTCTCTTTCCTATTTCCATTTGACTCTTGATGCTTCTGGGAAATGACTGTGGTACATGCTTTACCAGATCAGGTCTTTTGGCTGTACTATCCACCCCATCTCCTCAAAATACCTTGCCTGCTCTTAGAACTGAAGTTGCCTTACTCACAGTTGCACCATATTGGCAACATCTAGTTGGAAATTCTAGTCCTGGCAACTTCCAGGACTCTCCTGCAGCTGTCCTGAGGTCCTAAGAGCTGTCATGACTGCATCTGCATTAGATCTTAGCCCATAACAGCTCTGATGTAGTGTTGTTTACCCACTCTGAGACAGGGAGGTCAGCAGGGTTACGACACCTCTGGCAGTGTCCCACGGAAGGATGTGGTGTGTGCTGCTGCCAGCACATCTCACTGATGTGACACATGGATTGCAGCAGAGCAAAGGAAAGCTCAGAGGGCATCTGCTGGTCTGAGAGGTGGTCAGGCTGAGAAGGGTGAAGTAGAGGGGTCAGACTCTTTGTTCCACTGGGAGGGCAGCAGAGACTTGATATTAATGCCTTAACGCTATTGGTGTTTTGCCTCTGTGCTCCTGCAGGTGATGCTGGTGATCGATGCTGCTGTGAGCCACCTGGAGAACTTGTCCTGCCTGGAAGAGTATCTCTGCAACCTCGGCAAGAAGCACCAGGCAGTCGGTGTGAAGGTCGAGTCATTCTCGGTGAGGCATCCTCTCTTGTCCCACTGTGGCTGTGTGTGTGCAGTCCTGCCTGCAGCCCTCGTCTATCCCCACTGCTCTGCACCCATCTCATCATTGGAGTGAAAGTTGGTGGTTCAGGGTAGTCCCCGAGCTGCTGATACCTGTGGAGTGATGTTGGCTCAATCAGGGAAACCTTTGAGCTATGTTCGTTTTCTGCCCCGCCGTCAGGCCAGGGATAAAGGATAGGGAGGAGCAAGGCATTTACCCTGTTTGAAGAGGACCATGGTTTGGGGGACTGCAGGCTCTCCTGAGTTACAGGGCTGCAGGCTCAGCCTTTGCCCTGGGTCCTGGATCTCTACACCAAATGCTCTGGGCAAACCTCACTGCACCTGGGAAAAGGAGCACCCACCTCTCTCTGTGTCTGTGCTGGGGTGGGGTTCCTGCACCTCAGCTCCTGTTTCCTTCATGGCAGTAAGACAGGATCATCCTCCATGTTACACCCTTGCTTACTCCTCTCCTGCCATCAAGCATGGACAGAAATGCTGGATAACCCAGCGGGGAAGGGCAGGTCGAAAGGGCTAGCTTTGGCCCTCTTCAGAGGGAGCAGGGTCCCCTTTGCTTGAGGTGGTGATCCCCATCAGTTCTGCATTCAGTGTGTGTGTGCTCCTGGATGGGGTTGCTCACAGCTCTCTGTGGAGCAGCCTAAGAGGTGGCAAGGCAGGCCCTGAGCATGCAGTCTGGGATCTGATCCACTCCTCTGGTTTCCGATCCACTGCCATACCATGGCATAGGGCTGGCTGCCTGCATCTGGGGACAATGGACATGTACTTCTCCCCTGGTGTTACAAGCGTGGTCAGCCCTTGCTCCCTGCCTGCACCCCCTGCTCACCCAAGGATGTGGGGTGAGGGCCAGCACAGGGTAGGGGAAGGGGGATGGCATGGCCTGGCCCTGGGCCCCCTCTAAGCAGGACGGGGCAGCTGCTCCTTATCTACCAGTGGCCTGCCTCTGCCCTGCAATGGGAGAAGTCCAAGAATGTGGTAAAGTGAGAGAAGGGACTGCATGCTGTCCTCTGGTGCTGAGCTTGACTCTTCCCTGTTTGTTTTGCAGACTGTTGGCGAGTCCTTGCTGTACATGCTGGAGAAATGCCTTGGCACTGCCTTCAGCCCAGATGTGCAGGAGGCCTGGAGCAAACTCTACAGTGCCGTGGTGAAAGCCATGCGACGGGGCTGGGACACCCTCCCAGAAGGGGACTAGATCCTGCCAGGCACCCCCATCCCTGACCACACAGTGGCCCTGGGCAGGGGGAGCACTCACACCATGCTCTCTGCGTTTCTCCACCTCTGTCTTTCTCTGTGCACCAGCCCACTGCCATCTTCTCCAGTCATGTGTGGTTCGGGGCTCTCCCAGTAATTCCACCTTGCTTTGACACAATCACATCTCTGCCTTTGCTAAGGGCTGGCAGGGTATGTCTCTGCAGCAAAGCCTAGGAGCACCACAGTACAGGTATGCTGCCCTGCCCCAAGTTCCTTCAGGCTAGCAGGAGCACCCATGTACCTACTTTGGTTTTTAGCTGGCTCATCTTCTCTCCGCTTGCTACCCACCCTAGTTAGATGACAGCTAGCATCGGCTTCTCAGGTTTATTTGCCGGACATCCTATTAGACATGGTCAAGGCTGTTTACACCTCCTGCACTGCTGTGCCCAGTTCAGTTGTGGCAATGGTGGATTTGGCTCCCTCCAGGGGCACGGCAGCAGAGGTGGGAGCTGGCGGTGCCATATGGCTGTCCTCTCCAAACCATGTGGGGGACGTTTTCCCCCTCTCCCTTCAGCAACACATCACTACTTAATCTCTCTTGCCTCACCTCGCCTCTCCCCTGGATGGGATCCATGGCTTTTCCTTGTGTCAGGTTGGCCACAACTCAGTGTATTTACTAGGGATGCTTCAGGCAGCGGAGTCATGTTAATCCCAAAGTGAGGCTGCTTTTATCAGGTCTGGGCTGCCAGCTGAAAGGCTTTGTGTTGATTTGGCTGGTTGGTTTAACCTCAGAGCCAGCTGAAATGCAGCAGCAGCGGTGGATCTTTGCTGCTTTGTGTTAAGGAGAGTAAAGTAAATACTAGGAAAAGATGTCTTAAAATAAAAATGAAGGTTGCAATCATGTCATGGCAACAGCTTCCAGAAATCATTCCTGGCTCTTAGCCAGAGGAAGCATAGCTGGAATTTCTGTGTTGATGCTGTCAGGATCTGGAGCACTTCCCAGCTGCACACAATGCCCATCTGCAGAGCTCCTTGCCCTTTAGTAAATCCTACCAGCCATATTTCAGACACAGCTGATTCAGAGCAAAACAAGGCACCCAGTTAGGTGTTTTTTTTAGTGAAAAGACAGCATCTGCCAGAAGAAATCACAGGAAATAGCTGCAAGGCAGCACCTGAGAGCTCTGGGGGAGCTGAACTCAAGCACTTTGAAGAAGAGTTTGTCTTTGTGGGGAAGTAGCTGTCGGACAGGCAGAACCGTTAGACAGCCATTACTCGCCCCAGAGCAAGGGCATGGAGCAAGTGTTCAGTTACAGGCAGTGCCCTTTTTTGCTGCTACTTCAGGGCAGGAGGAGCACAGCATTGAGGGCTGAGGTGGTCCTGTTCTAGAGACATGTTCTTCCTATACTTGACAACTTCCAAAAGAGCAGGGGCTGGGGGGAGGTACTAGCTGTGACAGAATTGTATAGGGCAGGAGGGTTTGAGAATAGGAACATCCTTTGTGTTACCCTGTTCTGGGGCAGCAGCTTTCAGCATCATGGGGAAGAACCTTCTGGCTCTATGTGACAAGTAGGCAGCTGTGTGATGGGTGGGGTGTGGTGTTACTGCCCCAAACCATCCCTGCTCCTCTAGCTTTCCCAGCTCCTTGACTTCTCCTCTTCTGTACCACATCTTGTGTAACTCCCAAGAGAACTGAACTAGTCTGTGTGCCTCTGATACCCAGCTGCACTGTTTAATAAAGAAGAACAGTGAATCTCTGTACTTTTTGCTGCCTTATGTTTATTTTAACATAAAAGGCGCAAGCAAGCAAAAAAACCAAGGATGACAGAGGGGGGTTTACTGGTTGACTCTAACTTTGGAGATATTTGTCATTGGGAGGGCTTGTGTAGCCCAGCTTGACTGACATGAGAAGGTGCCCAGCACCAAAGGTCTGTTGGGAGCTTTTGTGCACTATGATTGAATGGGTGAGCAGTGGAGGGGCTAGCAAAAGCATCCTGCTGCTGATTGCTCATTACTCTTCAAATTTAATGAACTCTAATGGAAATACAGTTTTAAGCAACCAGCCTAAAAATCCCTTGTCTTCTGTTCAGCTGCTGGCTGTTCTTTGAGATAGCATAGGCTCATCTGCTGCTGCTGGTCACCCACTGCTGCAGGTGCCCACAGCAACAGCGCATGGCGTCGCAGGGAAGCCCTGCTCAGCTCCATGCAGCACCCACCCTGCCAGCTGGACTGTACGAGGGTCATCCTGCCTCCCCCTTCCCAGGGCATGTTCTAGCTTTGACATGGTGGGTTTCCAGCCCTGGGAGAGTCAGGCACTTGGTACTGAAGAAGGATGGACCCTAGAGCGGAGAAGCCATCTCAGATCTGTGATAGCACCTCCTGAAGGCTGGAAATCCCAGCCCTGCCACAGGAGAGCACAGTGAGCATCCTGGTAAAACTGTGCTGCTCTGCCTTGGGCAGTGTTTAGGATGGACTTTCTGCAGAGAGATGTGCAACTGGCTGGGAAGGGCACGGAGAGCAGCAGCAGTCTGAACACAAAGAAATCCTCCCTGTGTTTCATTGCTAAAATCAATGTCCCAGCCCTTACTGACCCGGAGCACAGCTGCCCGCTTCAGGGCGAGTGGTGGGAGCCCAATCCCAGTGCTGCAGGGACAGACAGCACAGCAACCCCTGCCCCAACCCGCTGTGCCAGCAGTGAGGTTTGCCATGGCTCTGCACGGTGGGAATGCCCCGGCACTGCCTACTACCGGCGGCGCAGTGGGACATGCCATGCAATTGCCTGTCCTGGCCGTGAGGGACTTCTGCGTGCACAGGCTGTACTCAGGTGAGCGGGTTTCTAAGAGCTGGGGGATGATGGGGCTTCCACAACCTTCTTCGGTTGTGAGGAGCTTCCCTGGTGGGAGGGCCGGGAAAGCTGTGAGCCAGAGGGGCAATTACAGCCCTTGCTCACAGGCAGGGCTCCTGCCTCAGCTGTCAGGCACCAGCAAGGCCCTGCACGTTGCCCTGTTAGCACTAATTATGAACTGGGGGGGTTCTTTGGGGGTGTGTGAATAGGGGAATGCGGTTTTAAATTCTCCAGTTTTTCACCCAAAGTGAAGCCCTCCGTGTGCCCCCTGCCCTGTGCCATGAGGCAGGCTGGCCAGGCAGGGCTCACTACAGAGGAGCTGTGAGGAGCTGCCTGGCGGGACCTACTGAAACCAGAGGCAAATCGTTCAGGTAGGACTCTGGGAATAAAGAGTGTGTTTTGGGAGAGAGGAGAGGAGGAAAACAGTGCTGTCTGCTCAAAACCTACAGAAAGGTTCCCCAAATGGTGTTCACCCTCTTTCCCAGGATGTTCTGGTGGGCAGTTCAGCTTTGGGAACATCTGCTCCATCCCTAGGTGGGATGGGTCCCCCCACTCCACGTTGTTGTCCCAGACTACGCCAGCTCCCTTCAGGCAGTGTGTACCTCTTTGGTGGTGCCCTGAGCCAGCCCTGCCTGTGGAGGGGAGGCATATGCACGTCCCAGGACTGCACCCCATCCCCAGTGTCTGTGATGGCACCAAGGGCTGGGCCAGCCTTTCCGAGGGGACACAGAGGGGTGCTCCCCCACTTGCTGCTTCTTCCTACTCACTAGGGTTTGCATCTGTGGAGACCATGGTGAGCAGGAAGGTGCCTGGAGGTGGCAAGAGGTGTCCTTGCCACTGGAGCACCTGCAGGACATCCCCAGGAAGGCTCAAAAACAGTCCACAGGTGGGGTAAAGGTCCAGGGTACTTTTGTAGCCTGCAGTGGTGATGGTTCCCCATCTCCTGGCATTGGGCAGGATGAACAGGGGTTGACAACGCTGGGCAAGCCACTGGGTGAAGTCATTTTATTCAAGGCACGGTCATAGCAATAAACCACAAGAAGGTATAGACCTCTGGCACATTCCTACAGCGGGGCAGCCAAGGGCAGTCAGACCAGCAGCTTGAGCTCCCAAGGATGCAGTGCCACTCACAGGCACTTCCACCCACACAGAGAGAAGCCACCAGCACCCCTCGTCTCCCAGAGCTGTCAGTGAGGGCAGCAGCTCAGTTGCAGGCAGCTCCCTCCGGGGACACCTGGGCAGGGAACCATGAAATCCCTGGGTGCTTTTGGGGTTGGGAGGGAGGGGCTGAGACCAAGGCTGCCCCGAGGCAACTCCTGGGTGGCTACTGTGCCACAGCCACTGCACTGGCATGCAGGAGATGGGATGCATGGGATGGGGCACGGGGCTGCCAGCTGACCGAGCTGAGACCCACCAGACCCATGGGGATGCCACAGGGCCCAATTGAGTACAATGGAGCCCCACAGTTGGCCTGCCTTTAACCCCCCCTGGACTGTCACACCGTGCCCCCTCCTCTCAGCAGCCCCAGTAATGCTGAGCAGTGCCATAGCTGAGCCACTGCCTTCACGCAGCAGCACTCCCCATGTCAGCAGTCCCGGTGCTGGCAGACCTGCATCATCATCCCTCCCTCCCTGCAGGTCCTGGGATAGTGGCTAGAATTGTTCTGAAGCCAGTAGGGAAACAGAGAGCAGGAAAATCAGCCCCAAGGCCAAAGCAGGGCTAAACGAGGACACAGCATCCGCTGGTGGGCTAGCCTGGTGGGAGAGGGGCCAAGCAGGGCAAGGATCTGCCCTCATGCCCAGGGGCCTCTCCAGCTGCTGTGGAAGAGCTGGAAACCCTCCGGGATGCTGCCTGGGCAGAGGCCAGCACATTTACAATGATCACAGCAGGACTCACACTCAAGAGGCAGTGTGGCTGCTGGGGGAGACTCCATGGCTGTGGCTTGTGGGCAAAGGCAGGATGCAGTAGACCAGAACCCCGAGGCTAGGGTCCTTCCAGCCGCCTTCCTCCACCCCATTTCTGTTGCAACAGGACAGAGCTACTCAGGGTCCCGTGGCCAGCCCCAGAGAGAGGGTGAGCACGAGAGGGATGCTCCCGGGGTGTGTGGGATGATGAGGAGCTGCCCTCACAGCCATTAAACACGCTTGTCCCTTGATCTC